GATCCAGTAATCGTAAAATTATAATCCCCTACTGGCTCTCAACGTGCAGACTCCAAAACACTTCCTTAAAGTAGCTCCTACCCGAAGAGATTATGACTGCTTCCTCTGGTTAGCAGAGTCCACAGCCCTCTGCACGGATGCTGCCACTCTCCAGGATCTTGGGAGCATGCTGGCTGCCCCTCCCCTCTGATACACCTGCAATAAAAGGGGATCTTGGCAAAAACCTTTTAGGATATACTAGACAGATCTATTGAGAAAAAGATTGGGTTCTTTATCAGATGGTAGGAGGGACAGTATTTTTTTTTTTTTTTTAGTGTCTTTATTTGAGACAGACAGAAACAGAGCATGAGCAGGAGAGGGGCAGGGAGAGGGAGACACAGAATGTGAAGCAGGCTCCAGGCTCTGAGCTGTCAGCACACAGCCCTACGCGGGGCTCGAACCCAGACTGTGAGGTCATGACCCAAGCTGAAGTCGGACGCCCAACCGACTGAGCCACCCAGGTGCCCCGGGACAGTACTTTGTTTTTAATTTATTTTGAGAGAGAGAGAGAGAGAGTGAGAGTGAGAGTGAGAGAGCGAGCAGGGGAGGGGCAGAGACAGAGGGGGAGAGAAAGAGTCCCAAGCAGGCTCTGCACTGCCAGTGCGGAGCCCGACATGGAACTTGAACCCACAAACCGTGAGATCATGACCTGAGCTGAAATCAAGAGTTGGATGCCTAACCAGCTGAACCACCCAGGCGCCAGAGGAAGGACAATATTAACTAGACCTGCATCTACCCCTTACCTTAAGCAAGTCACACTGTCTGAGTCTTCTGATCTTCTTTATAAGAAGGGAACTAATTTTTGTTTAGCCCCAACCTGTGCAGGGAGTATGAGCACATGTCAAAGCACTTTACAAATGAATTATTAGCTCTCCTCTACAGACCCTGAGAGACCTGGATCCAACCTACAGAAATTTCAGAAAAATCTTCATGTAGATACAAACCAGCTTAAAAGAGTGCTATGGTGTATCGACAAATGAAGAGATGCTCAACATCACCAGCCATCAGGGAAATGCAAATCAAACCACAGTGACACCAACTAGGCTGGTGATAACAAATTGATACATAACAAGTGCTGGTAAGAATGCGGAAAAATTAGAACCCTTATACACTCCACGTAGGAATGTAAGATGGTGAGCTGCTTTGGGAAGGTCTAGCAGTTTCTAAAAAAGTTAAGTTACAGTATGACCCAGCAATTCCACTCCTAGGTGTATATACCCAAGAGAAAACATGTCCACATAAAAACTTACATGCAAATGTTCTTAGCAGCTTTATTCTTAATAGCCTGAAAGTGGAAACAGCCCAAATGTCCAGCTGATGGAGGGACAAACAAAATGTGATATAACCACATAAGGGAATACTATTTGGGAATTAAAGAAATGAAGTCCTGGGGTGCCTGGGTGGCTCAGTCGACTGAACGTCCGACTCTTGATTTTGGTCATGATCTCACGGTTTGTGGAATCGAGCCCCGCGTCTGGCTCTGCGTACTGACAATGCAAAGCCTGCTTGGAGTTCTCGCTCTCTCGAAATAAATAAATAAACTTAAAAAAAAAAAAAAAAAGTACCACCATGGTTGAACCTTAAAACATTATGCTAAATGAAAGAAGCCAGATACAAAAGGCCACATCTTGTGTGATTCCAATGAAATGTCCAGAATAGATGGATATATAGATGGGAGGTAGTTGTCAGGGGCTGGGGCTGAGGGGACTGTCAAGAGAATGAGAAGTGAACGCTACTGGGCAGCAGGTTTCTTTTTAGGACAATGAAAATGTTCTGGAATAGACAGTGGTGATAGTTGCACAACCTCGTGAATATACTAAATACCAATGAGTTGTATACTTTAAAATAGGAAATTTTAGGCTGAGTTACAACAAAAAGGAAGAAAATTGCATTGAATAGGGCGGTGATTGGTTAAAATCTTTTGTAGACGTGTAAACTAAAATTTGCATTACTAAAATGGATCCATGTGCTTAGCTAAAAAGTTGGGAACCTTTCTTTGTGCTATCAGTGGATTATACGTATCAACTAACACATTTAAAAAACCCTGAAACCACTCTGAGGTAGATTCCACCATTACTTCCCTTATAGAAGAGGAAATGGCAGGACTTAGGTCAAGTACAACTTGATGGAGGTTACACAGAAGGCTACGGTAGAAACCTTGGTCTACCAGAGTCTGTATGACGTTCTGTCCACTACGAAGTGTCTGCATGGTTACAGCCCCAGCGGGCAAATACTCCTTGGTGGCAGCAATCGCGGTCTTTTCATTTTCTTTACCTCAAACCCTACTTGCACCTGGCAAGTGCAGAGACAAGTCAGTTAAATGCATTCATCCATTTGTCAAATATCTGTGCTTCTACTGTGTAGCAGGCACTGGGAACACGGTCAGAGTTCCTAGGGACCAAAAACACGATCATTTCAGGTACTAATAATTGCTATATATGAAGACAAAGAAGGGGAGTTCAGGAAGACTGAGGAAAGCCAAGGAAGGAGATAAGCCACAAGGTCAGGAGCAGTGTCTCCCAGATGAAGGAACAGTGGGTGTGAAGGTCCTGAAAGAGCAACCAACTTTGATGGGTCACAGGGAGAGCAAGGTAGCAGGTTCGGCGCGAGACTGAAGGATGGAGGAGGTTGCCAAAGCAGACTCAACCCGGTGTGTCAGGTCTGGGAGGCCACAGTAAAAAATGTGGATTTTCCTCAGGGGCAGGAAGCTATCAGAGGGTCTTGAGCAGTACTGTGATCTGACTTAGGACTTGGGAACGGGATGGCCTCTGTGCCTAAGTACTGGAGCGTAGACGACACTGCTCCTAACAGTAGTCACTCCAACTCTGAGTAAATGAAGTCGACGTGGACCGAAAGAAGAAGATGGGGAGAAGACCAGAGGGCGGCATCAAAAATACTCTACTTTGGATACGTTCAGTATCTCTTTTAGACCCCCGAAGCGAGGTAACCAGTAGGTGGCTGGACAGGGTCTAGGTGAGGGGGAAGTTCAGACTAGAAAGTAACCGACAAACTAACAGAAAGAGGACATTTAAAGTCAAGGGATGAGGAATTAAATGTAGGGAAATCCACCAAGGACTAAGACAAACTTCCATCACGTTATGTTTGAAAGAAGCCATTAGATATAAAAGGACCAACTGATGAGACACGAGGGAAACTAGGGTTGAAACCAGTGGCATCTCCTAGCACCCAAGTGCAGTGTTTCAAAGGAGGCATGAGCGACTGAGCCAAATCCAGCCAAAGGCCAGTAAAGGATCAAGAACCGATCTTTCAGTTTGGCAGAATGGAGGCTACTGCTAACCCTACCGAGCAATCTCAAGTGGAGAATGAAGGCATACTGAATGAACGGGAAAAGTAAATAAATGGACCGACCGAATGAATGACTGGCTAGATAGGTCCAAGTACCCAGTGATGCACACTGGTTAGCTCACACTGGAAGGGATTAAGTCATCAACGACCATTTTAGAAACTGCACATTCTGCGCTTTCCTTAAATAACAGAATTATAAAATCGAAAGGAAGTTACGTGAAAGATGCTTAGACTTAAGTTACAGCACACACATAAGATTCTGTTACGATCATAGATTCTAGTTCACTACAGAAGCAGCTTCATTAACTGAGCTTCTGCCTTTTTACAAATTACTCTAAAAACCCACGGTAAAAACAGCCCCTTTATGACCATGTCCTTCAGGTAAAAACCATCCCACAGAAGTTTCCTGAAGTTAAGATGTGTAGGCATTTTCTATGTGTAGGCATATACATAGATACTGCTCTGCTTGAGGTGCCGAGTCGACTCTGCCCTGTCCGTTATATATTACCATACACTCGCCCTTCATAGCACGTACCACATCAATTAAAATAAAGACGGCAGAATAATTTCACCACCTTTTACTTTCCTTGCTCAATCTTTACTGTGTCAAAGGTGCCAAGAGGGTAAAAATATAGGCTTAACTGTAACATTTTTTTAAAAAAGGTGAGTTCCCACAGTATTGAGACGATTAAGTAAAAGTGAGTGGCAAACGTTTTTAAATTTAGAAATTTATTCTGTTTAATCCACAAGCTTTATATAGCTTTAGTTTAAAAAAAAAAAAAAACAAAAAAACAAAACAAAAACAGTGAAAACAAGACACTATTTCAAAGTCTGGGCCCTTCCAGCCTTCCAAATATGAGAGAGCTCTGAAAGTTGTATATACCAGTTGGAAGAACAAGACAAAATTATGAATGGAGCCGTGACATTTCATAAAACAAACTTTTATATAACTGAAGGATCCTTCCTGGGACTAGTTAATTGCCTTTACACAAAAAACACAACAGAATAGAATGAAATTCCAGTGTTCCAAATCAACTTGTTACACATCCATATAAACCCACAGTGTCCTGGCAAACAACATGCTTTCATTTTCCGTCTCATCCTAGAGCTCGAATCTGGATTCATTTCAGCAGAGACTCCACAGGCAACAGGAAAGATTGTGGCATCAAAATGTTCATTTATACTTTTGTGGTAGTTCAACAGTGGTCTTATTTCTGGGCTAGCTTGCAAACCATACAAGGTTGGAAGCATCATAACTTAAATGGGTGCTAAGACTCAAATGAGAAAAAATAAGGAAAAAACAAAAAAAAAAACCGAAAAGAAAGGAAAACCTCTGGGAATAGCCAAGGCCTTTAAAGAAACCATAAGAATGCCAACAATATTGAAACCCCCTTTTTTAAAAAGGGGATTTTTTTTGGCTTAAAATATTTCACTCTAAATGAAATTTATGTCAGCTGTCAATGAAAGAATGTCACTAATACACTGTGGACACCTTTTGCAATGTAAATCCATGCCCTTTTTTTTTACATGGTGAACTTCAACCTAGCAATTATTACAACAAATGTTATAGTCTAAAGCTCAAACACATTTTAGCAATTTTGAAATTGAATTGCGTACAAACCAAATAAAATGTACATCGTAACACACATTCCCACCTAAGACTGTGGGGACACTTGAGCCTTCCGCATCGACCTCAGCGCCTTTTCACGCAGGTGCTTTTCTAAGTCATCGAGGTTGTCTTCGGGCTCACTTTCGGTCTCCTAAAACCAGAGGAGTCACACTGGTGAGTCTTGAGAAACTGGCGAAAAGGTGTGGGGTGCAGGGCAGAGCCACATCGTGGCAGCAGCTGCACAACTCTATGAATACACTAAAAACCCCTGAATCATATAGTTTCTTTTTTTTTTAAGTTTTATTTTTGGGGCGCCAGGGTGGGTCAGTCGGTTGAGCGTCCAACTTCTGCTCGGGTCACGGTCTCATGGTGAATTCAAGCCCCGCATCGGGTTTGCTGCTGTTGGCACAGAACCCACTTTGCATCCTCTCTTCCCCCTTCTCTGTCCCTCCCCTGCTCGCGCTCTCCCTCTCAAAACTAAACTAAAAAAATGTTAAAAGCGTTATTTTTAAGTAATCTCCACCCACAACGTGGGGGTCAAACTCACGACCCTCAAGATCAAGAGTTGCATACTCTACCAACTAAGCCAACCAGGTGCTTCTGAATCACGCACTGTCAATGAGTAGATGGCATGTTAATTATACCTTAAAGTTATTTTTTAAATACACATTAAGCTTTTGGTAGCCATTCATACTCTTTTCCTTAGTCTTGGCAAATTCCTGTTCTTGGTAGATCATCAAGGACTAGACCAGAAGACAGCTAACAGCCAAGGAGTCAATTACTATAAAAAATTAGTTAGGATGCCTGGGTGGCTCAGTCAGTTAAGCATCTGACTTCGGCTCAGGTCATGATCTCACGGTTCGTGAGCTTGAGCCCCGCTTCTCCATCCCTCGCCCACTTGTGCCCTCTCTCAAAATCAAATATCTGGCCATCTGTATAAACGGCAAGACAACATCCATACACACCTTCTTAGGCTCGGGCTCCGCTTCTGGTTCCTCCTGTGCTGATGTGGTTGTGGGAGCAGCAATGGCTGCAGGGGTTACAGCAGCCGCAGCGGCTGCAGCCACGGCCTTTTCCTTCTTGTGTTTTTTGTGCTTCTTGTGCTTCTTATCCTTTTTGTGTTTCTTGTCCTTCTTTTTCTTCTTTTTCTTTCCACCTCCTTCTGGGTCTGAGTTCTAAAAATCCAGAAAAGTAACAAAAATAAAATCAACCTAAAATTTTGGCCAACTTAACATTTTATTCCTTCAAGATAATAACTAAATGGACAAATCCCAGGATTTCTTAAGGCTTCGGGGAGTGGAAAAGCCCAAGGCCAATTCCTACCAAGAAAACGATTTCTGGAGAGGAGAACCACAATGAAAGCAAAGATGCTCCTCGTGGATTTTAAGAGTCAGAATGGACCCCGAAGGAACGGATTCTATATGATTTTCCCCAACTAACTTCACATTACACCAGGTCTCCAAGCCACAAGCTGCAAGTCAGGGCTCCAGGATCCGGGGACACCTCCAGATGTAAGGAAAAGCAGCACGTGCAAAGGAAAAGATGTCTCTGAACTCAACTGGGTCTGAGGTGAATTCTGGCTCCCGAACCTGTTAATCATCTGACCTCAGACAAATCCCCTTTTTCTGAGCCCCTTTTGTCAACCTAAAGTTGGTTCAGCAATCCCTGATAAAGCTGTTAGAAGAATCAAATGGGTATATCTGTAAACCATCCACAATAAGAGCCCAAAAGGTAGCAGGATTTGAAGAAATACAGCTATTGTTCTAAACATACGCTTGTATGAATGCCAGGTCTCTAGCCACCGTATGGCTTCTCTTATCTCTAGAATGGAGGTAGCGTGCTTGTCAATGCATACGGTTGACCCTTGAACAATGTGGGGGATAAGGGGTAAATCCCCCACATAGTTTTGAAAATCTGCAGTAACTTTGGACTCCCCGTCCCCAAACTTAACTACTAACAGCCTAGGTAGACCAGACGCCTTATTGGTAAGTTGATTAACACGTATTTTGTATGTTAAACATATACTGTATTCTTACAATACAGTGAACTAGAGAAAAGTAAATATTAAGAAAAGCGTAAGGAAGAGGAAACACATGCACAGTGCTGTTCTGTACTGATCAAAAAGACTCCACAGAGAAGTGGCCCTGCCCCACGTTGCTCAAGGGTCAGCTGTTTCCCACTTCAGCCAGTAATTCTCAGGCTTTACGACTCATTTTTTGTTAAAGAAGTAAATGTATTTCCTATTGAAGAAAAAAGAAGAGCACTACATGCAAAGAAAAATTAAGATTACTCATCGTTTCTCTTTCTAACATATAACCACTGTTAACATTAGAATTTTTTCCTTTATGACAAAGGAGCCATACTAACACACACGATCTAATTTTGAAAGTTTTACTGATTCTGTGATCTTAAGAGTCCCCAAATGTGTCGAAAAGCAGAAATACAGTCCAATTTTAATCACCAAGGTTACAAAATTTAACAGTATTAGACATAATGTCAATTAGTGGGTGGCTAGAATATTAAGCATGGACTATGATGCAACCACCACCACTTAATCTGTGCTTCCTTGAAGTCCATCTGAACTAAAGAAAATGCTGCTGCTCTGAGCCACAAAAAAACAAAAAAAAACTGTCTTTGCTTCCAAGTGACCACATAAAATTATAAAGATAAAACAGGGCAGACACATACCCTTGCCGGAGATGGGCTTGGTGTCGGGCTTTTAGCCTTTTTGACCGGTACCGCTGGTGACCAGTTGGTAGAGGGTGACTGAGACTGGACAGGAGACTGAGGTGCTGGGGGTTTTTTAACTGCCGGCTCAGGAGATCCTGAGACAGATCGGGAGGATGAAACCCTCCTTACAGACTGAGGGCTTGGTGAGGCAGCCCTAGAAATAGAGGGGAAGAACAAAACATTTAATATCCAAGAACAAAGGTCTTTCCCAAGAGAAAATAACCCACTTCCATTATATAACCAAGTCACACACTTTTAAATATTTTAGAGTACTTAGTTTGCTAGATGATTCTACTAACATGTATCACCTAAGTCTCCTGGAGAGTAGTTTAAGTCCCATAATCCTCTATCCATTGTTAATACTTCCTATATGAAATTAAGAATGCCCAATTCCTTGTAATCAAGACTGCTTTTATCAGTCATACATAGCCGTGCAAGAAATGTTCTATGCATTACTTCAGAGTTCAGTTTTGGAAACACACATCCCTCAATAAACCAGACAACCCCTAAGAACCAAGTAAAATCCTATGGCATTTAGTGTGTGCCAAAAGGAACTATCCTGAAAACAGAAAACGAATCTGCAAATAGTACCTTTAACCTGCCTCACAAGCCTGTATTCCCACCAGCTTATTTTCTGTAATTTCTCAGTGAAGGGAAAAAAGGCTTCCAAACATAAAAGGCTATGCAAATTAGTGTTCCCAACCAAAAAAGCATAAAATATTTTTACTTCTTTGTCTTTTTGGGTTCCGGAGTCCTGGAGACTCTCCTAATGGGCCTAGTACTTGGAGATGGGGACTGCCTTCTTTGGGGTGATGATGATGCTCCTCTTCGAACAGGTGGAGGACTTGAGGAGGTTTGAGGAGCTCGAGGCCGTGGTGAGGGCGAATGCCGTTTGTTTGGTTGTGGTGACCGGGGCTCCCGGGTAGATCGGCTCGGGGAAGACCCTTTCCTATGCTTTGATGATAACGAAGGCGAACGTCTCTTGGTGACCGGGGAGCTTCTTTGTTTGGGAGGTGGAGAATGGGAGACCCGGCGCTTTGGTGGTGGAGATGGCGATGCCCTACGTTTAGGAGGGGGAGGTGGAGAAGCCGTTCTTCTCTTTGGAGGCGGAGAAGGAGAGTATCTCCTCTGTATTGGAGGAGAGTATCTTCTTGGGGAAGGTGAGCGGCGCCGGGGGGGAGGAGAAGGAGTCCTAGGAAAAATACACCATTAAGTCGGAAGGGCCAGTAGAATAAGGCAACAGGATGCACAGAAAACTAACCAGCAGTTATGGCGCCACTGTAGTTAGCACCAGGCAGAAAGTGTTTCCAATTAAAAATTGGAATTAATTAAAAATTAATTAATTAATTTAAAAAATATTTAATTGGAAACACTATGCCTTTATCCTCATTTAAAGAAAAAGAAATCACTTAGTGGGTTTATCCTAGATGACTATAAAAGAGGACATTCTGCTTAATGGAGAAATCTGAAGTTTTTGGAATTAAAGTTTATTATGTCATTTAACGTAATCCATATGGAATCTGAATGTTTTTTTGAGAAGAGAATCTTGCATAAACTGAACATCCTTATCATCATGCAATACCTAGCCAAATACATTAGCAGGACTCTACTATGGGCAACTTAGGATATCTGTACTTTATTTTATTTTTTTAGTGTTTACTTATTTTTAAGACAGGGAGAGAGAGAGAGAGCGCGCGTGCGCGCGGGGGGGGCCAGAGGGCAGAGACACACGATCCGAAGCAGGATCCAGGCTCTGAGCTGTCAGCACAGAGCCCGACGCGGGGCTTGAACTCACGAGCTGTGAGAACATGACCTGAGCCAAAGTCAGCCGCCCAACCGACTGAGCCACCTAGGAGCCCCAGGAAATCTATACTTTAAAGAGCTCTTCTATGTGGTGCTCTCTTGAGCTGGCATTTAGACTTAGTATTAATAACAAGAGTTCACTTGCACAAGTTTTAAAAGATATCTCTACACCCACCCCACCCTGCCAAGGACAGACTTGCATTTTATGTCTCAAAAACCACTTTTCACTGTAAGTCTACCTACTAGAACAATGCTTCGCTGAGGAAGTCCAAACTGGACTTCCTCTTAATGCTTATTTCCTACATAATCCTCACATGCCTCTTTAAAAATTAGACCTGAATAGAACATTCAGTTCCAACTGCCTAATTTGCTCCTGAAATGTTCAGACCTTGAGCTAAAAATATCTTCAGCTTTACAATAGACCACTTTTTGTTCAACATGGTAATGGGAACCTCCATTTCCTCACCTGAAAAATGGGAACAATACCACCTACCAAGCAAGTTCACCTCAAGGACTAGAGATGAAGTATATAAAACACCTACAGCACTTTACCTGGCATATAACGGGCACTCATATTGCTTGGTAACGTATTTGAGTAATATCATTACAAATCTTTTTCCCTTTATTTTGAAACCATTTCGATTTACGGAAGAGTTACAAAAATAATGGAGAGTTGCCACTTAACAGCTCACGTAACCACAAAAAAATTATCCAAATTATGAAATTAATCCTAGCACTAACTTGGTATTAACTAAAATACAACTCCACAGTTTCCCACTAATGCCTCTTTTCTGTTCCAGGTTCTAAAAATCAGAATTCTACATTATATTTAGTTATCATGCGTCCTTAGTTTCTGCCAATACATAACTATTCCTGTCTTACGTGACTGGTGTTTTTAAAGAGTACTAGTCGGTTACCTTGTAGAATATCCTTCAATTGGGTTTGTCTGATATATCCTAATAAATTTGACTGAGGTTCTGTAGAATTGGTAAGGCTGCTACAGAGGTATCTGGGAATTATATAATACCACTATGTGTTACTGCTAACTTTGAATCCTTACTTAAGGAGGTATCTGACAGAATTCCGCACTGTAAACTTAGTATTTTTCCCTTTATAATCACTAAATAGAGTGACTTCACCTTTTAATTTAACATCTTTGTTGACATGTGATTCACACACCTTAAAATATAACCATTTTAGGGGCGCCTGGGTGGCTCAGTCAGGTAAGCATCTGACTTTAGCTCAGGTCATGATGTCATGGCTCATTTGAGCCCTGCGTCAGGCTCTGTGCTGACAGCTCGGAGCCTGAAGCCTGCTTCCGATTCTGTGTCTCCCTCTCTCTGCCCCTCCCCTGCTTGTAGTCTGTCTCTCTTTCTCAAAAATAAACATTAAAAAAAAAAAAAAAGTTAAGTTGTTCCCATCAGCTACAACTAGCAAATCTGATAAAATACCTTCGTCGAGGTGGCGGTGTGGGAGACCTGCGCCTTCGAGGAGGAGGGGCAGGAGAAGGAGAACGGCGCCTTCTGGTGGGTGGTGGGGAGGGTCCTCCTCCGTCTACCACTAAAAAAAAAAAAAAATTACAAGTTATTTGGAGTCAGCAGCATTTACAATTAAGTGATCCAGATGATATAGTTTTAATCATTGTTAACCAAAAGTGCAGTCAACTGTTCCTCTATCCCTCAGAGCAATGTTTTTCATACTAAACAGGATCATTAGCAAGGCTCTGTCTGAGAACCAGCATTTTAGAAAATCATAATTTTACTTGTTAACGGTAAATTTTGTTTTGTAAAATTTTTGTTTCAGTATATACATATGCAGAGTCTGGGTCATGATATAGAAATTCTCAACATGACACAGGGTAAAAAAAAAGTTCGAAAACACTGCCTGAAAGCATTGGAATGCACATCAGTTACCTAGGAGACTAATCTGAGTCTGTGCTCACCAGGCCCAGACTACGTATGGTCTAGCCAGTATATGCTAAAAAGGCTCTCTAGGTGATTGTTTCCTTATTAGAAACAGAACAACTGCTTTAAAACCCAGAAAAGTTCAATGTTCTAACTCAGAAATTTTAAATTTGGGGACTTATGGCCCCAGATCTATATGTCACTGTTCCAAGTTCTCGATTTTTAAAAATGTATTTCCACTATTCAAGAGTTGGCTTACTATTAACTAAAAACACTATCTCAAAAACAAAGGATTAAAAATTGAGCACTAAAGCTATCATTGGGAGCAGTGTGGTTGAAACACAATCTTAGGAACCTTAATTCTGAGCTGTTACACACTTAACAAACACAAATGCACACATGAAAAATAAAATTGTATCAACTGGACTAACTCATAGCAATCTCCCCAGATTTATATTAAAATATACACCAAGCCAGTTTGCCATAATCACATAATGTAGTTTTCAACTTCTTGCCCAGCATAGGACTGAGGTTTCCTGTGAATCTGGAAATGTTTTCTACAGTTTACTAGTCTTGATCTCCCTTTAAAACTAAAGAGTGCTCTGTTACTAACAGAACAGAAAAAATTCTGAAAATCATTTAAATTTTATTTTCACAATTTAATTTTCAATTTCAATTTGTTTATGCCTCGTGGGGACTAAGACTTCACTTGGAACAGATTTATAATAAACTACAAAAGGCAATCTATCTAGACAGAAGAGCTTTGGATGAAATGAAATGTAGATACTGAACTACTAATTATACGAAAATACAGTAAAGGAGAAACCACTTTACTAGCGGGGTTAACCTGAGAATTACAGGACCTGGGGAGACAAGATGACCACAGTACTGATTCAACAGGTAAGTAAGATTTCAAATAGGAGAAGACATTTGGGTTTTAACTTAAAAAGAAGAAAGAAAAGTTTACAGGTGCAAACTTAGAAAGTGATATAAAGAACTCCCAATGTTATCAGTAAATATAATAACCTACTGTTGATATATGTTGATTACTGTTGATTATGTAACTTCTCTTTAAATCTAACCAGAAACTCTCATTAAAAAATTGGGACTCAGATTAGAATCTATTATGATACACTAATGGCCTGAGATATTTATTTTGTGCCTCATCTTCACTTGTAAAATGAAAGGCTCAGAGGAACCAAAAGGTCCCTTCCAGTGAGGACCTTCAATGTCCTGTTTCTATGTAGGAAAATAACCAAAAAGAACAAATAACACCATAACCAAACTAGCATAACTTAAGGAATGCCAGAAAAATCTAAAAATCGCTTAAGACTGGAGTCTTGACACCACACGGTTCTCTATGATCCGAAGGCTACAGAGTTCTACCTGAGCTGGTAAGGCACACATTTTAAGAGTTAAAACAAAAAGCTGATTTCTTTGAGATCAATCTATTTCAATTTTTCCGTATATGCCAAAAAAAAAAAAAAAAAAAAAAAAAAAAAAAAAGAAAAAAAAAATGACATAAATGTCAGGTTTAATGTATTTCCAAGATTTGGTCAAGCTTGTTCACTGTATTATTCGAAATTCTGAATCCTGAATAGATTTCATCCGCTTAATCTAACAACAGAAAGCTAAGCATTTTCTAGTGTTACTCTGAATGATGCCAAGCTAAGCTTTCAACTGCGTGCAGAAATTGAGTAGGAAGTGTGCCCTCAAATTGCGTGAGAACCGGTTTCAGTAAGTCTCAATATGTGATGTCACTAACCCTCAAGTATGCAGGAAGACAGGTTTTATCAGAAAGGGCCAGCCTGCTCTCAGAACAACCTCACTTCACTAGCCATGCTGGTAATGAAGACAAGAAAGAGAGATGTGATGCCAACCTCTTAATACTATGATCAATGTACCTCGTTATCCTTTAAGTTGAGGAGTGTTCGATCCCAGAGACACTCCCAGAGACACGTGTTTCAAACATGGAAAATGTCACTTTGTCAAAATTTAAACTTAACATAGGAAATAATAAAAAAAAAAACAAAACAGGCTGTATGTCCCCTCTTAAAAATACAGTAACTACTGAGATGCCTGGCTGGCTCAGTCAGTGGAGTGTGTGACTCTTGATCAAGGGGTTGTGATCAAGCCCCGTGTTGAGTGTAGAGATTACTTAAAAAAATAAAATCTTAAAAATAAACAGAATAAATACTGAAGCAGGATTCCAAAGAATTCTTCCTCCATCTTTAAATCCTGGACACCTGATAGCCAATTTCTAACATCACTAAAACTCGAGGCCTTTTTAAAGAGGAAAACCAAAACACCCTGGAGCAGGATAATAAACATCAGTGCTGCGGAGAAATTGCTTTCTAATATAGAAAGTAGTTCCCGAACAGGTGGAAAAAAGAAATCTTACCACTAACCTGATTTTGTAAAGCAACTTTTTAGCTGCTGTACTAGACTTTTCACAGAAGTCAGGGGTAATTATGGCTGGAAACCGAATACCTTAGCATCTAAGTTTATCTTTCTCTTAAAGGTTTTTTATTTTTTATTGTCAAGTATTCTGCAGCACAAATACACTACTTTGTTCCATCGCAAACATTGCTGACTAGTTCCTAAGAATCTTTCCAAGAGAACTCTTACTAATTGAGACTACCTAAAACAAAACAGTTTCAAAAAGTGAGCCATAAATAGGACAATGTGATCATTTCAGGAAAGATACTCAGAAATTCAGCAGCAGCTTAAGACCCCCCCTTCCCCCCAAGCAGAAGACCAGTGAAGACAGTATAACGGTATAATGCCAATAGCACAGGTCGAAGATCTGGCTTTGTCACTTTACTTACTACCCTAACAAACTCCTTTTACCACTTCTGGGCCTGTTTTCTTTTTCTCACTTAATGGGATAAGCTACAATTAGAGATTTCTATTTCTATTTATTAAGCTCTAAAATGTTATGTTTTACAATCCCACAGATACCTGATCAAAAAGGTTCAATAAAAATATGCAACCTACTTTCCTACTGTGGGAAACACTCAACAGAGCCAGAGCCTCACTTTCATCGTTAGTCTTTCTAGTCTTTCCCAAATTTTTGTCTACCCTAAAGTCATCACAAAGTCCCTCCCCACTAAATCTAAGGAGCAATTTTTATTATCCTATCTCTTGGAAAATATCCAAGTACTGTAATTGCACAAAAATCTAAGCTCAAATGGTACTCTAAAATGAACACTGTGACGGGGGTGCCTGGGTGGCGCAGTCGGTTAAGCGTCCGACTTCAGCCAGGTCACGATCTCGCGGTCCAGGTCATGATCTCGGGGTCCGTGAGTTCGAGCCCCGCGTCAGGCTCTGGGCTGATGGCTCGGAGCCTGGAGTCTGTTTCCGATTCTGTGTCTCCCTCTCTCTCTGCCCCTCCCCTGTTCATGCTCTCTCTCTGTCCCAAAAATAAATAAAAACGTTGAAAAAAAAAAAATTTTTAAATGAACACTGTGTAAGTCTATCATTAATTTGACATGTAAAGAAATATACTTTTAATAAACTTAAACATCTGAGGAACTTCTCCACAACCATACCCACTGTATACCTAGGAATGGCATCAGGTTACCTAAACAGCAAATTAAGTCACTAAAACTTTGACATGTAACCCTAATTTACAAAGTAGCGTCTAACCAACCTTTTAGTCATTGGCGATTGCCATCGCTTTCCCATTTGCATCCTGAGAGCAGTGGAGAAAAACAAAGGTCAAGAATTCCATTCACCAAATTATTTACTTCAATGGAGTTAAGTATCACTAATGAAGATTCATTTTTTTTTTTTTTTACATGTTCAAAGATATTCAGAAGTTAATGCTATGATTTAACTGATCTAGTCATGCAGACATATGACATGGTGGTACAAAACTTAACATCTCATTACTAGTAGTAACCACCAAATAAAGCAAAGAAAAATTCCAAAACCTCCCAAATCTGACCACCTCCTTCTAGGAGCCCTTGAAATGAAGGAATTAACCAATTTCTAAAATAAACCTGTAGCCCATCCCATAAGTTATGAAGTTTCATCACAACTACACAGAACACCAGTGAAGACTACTGAAGAAAAGACATTACCGAGGGGAAGTCTCTTTCTGGCGCTTTCGAGGTGATGGAGAGGCACTCCGGGAAGGGGAATGTCTCCGCCGCCTGCCTACCTCACCATTCTTCACATGGGACCTTTTGGGTCGCTCATCTTCTGAGGAAGAAGAGGAGCCAGAATCTATAATTACACAATAAAGAAAAAACCACATTACACCTATGCTTAAGAGTCTGCCCACATTTTCTGAATCTAAGTAGATAGGAGTGTCCAAATTAGCAAGTTAAGTCCCTAATGTAGCGAGCACGTATGTAAGCCATCAGTTCTAAACAAAGGTTACTATCAATATATGGCCAATGACTTGAAAGCCAAGCATAAACATATATTATTATACAATCATATAAATCATTCCCATAGCACACTCCAACAAGACATAAGCGTCCCTTAAGAATCTAGTCATCTGCCAAATAATTAAGCTTAAAAAGCATTTCAAGTGGGGCACCTGGGTGGCTCAGTCAGTTGAGCATCTGATTCTTGATTTTGGCTCAGGTCATGATCTCATGGTTTGTGAGTTCAAGTCCTGCCATCGGGGATCTCTCTGCTTGGGATTCTCTCTCTCCCTCTCTCTCTGTCCCTTCCCCACTCATGTGCTCTCTCAAAATTAACAAACATTAAAAAAAAGCACTTCAAGCAATTACTTGATTCTTTTACTTTAAGCACTTATTTTTAATTTTTAATGTTTATTCATTTTTGAGAGAGACATAGTGTGAGTGGGGGAGGGGCAGAGAGAGAGGGAGACACAGAATCTGAAGCAGGCTCCAGGCTCTGAGTTGTCAGCACAGAACCTGAAGCGGGGCTCGAACCCATGAACTGTGAGATCATGACCTGAGCTGATGTTGGATACTTAATCAACTGAGCCACCCAGGTGCCCTGAGCACTTATTTAAAAAAAAAAAAAAAAAAAAAAAAAAAAAAAAAAAATTTTTTTTTAAGGCACTTTTAAAGCTACTGAAAGTCATCTTAGGGTCTGAAGAACTTATTTCCACATCCCTAGCACTTATCATACAAACAAACAAAAAAAATGTATGTAACAAGCCTTTCCTTACAGGCCTGGTAGCAAACGTCCAGGACTGCAAAGAGAAAAACTTCCAACTGTTTGCACAGGGTTTCCTGAACTTAAAATAACAATTATTCCCAAATATCAAAACTTACATTTGAAGTAAAGTCCCAAGCACCAAAAAACACCCAAGACCTACATGCATTTTAAAACCTTTCTATGATTAACTTCATGTTAAAAGAACTGCAAAAGCTCTATGGCTTTTAACAGACCCAATGCCGCTGTGGGGTGTTTTTGTCTCTATCTTATAATTGAAAAGCAAAAATAGCACATCTAGACTTGGTCACAAAGACCCACTGAGCTAACATAATTAATTTTTATTAATTAAATAACAAATATTATTTACTCATTACACACAGAAAAACCCAGAAACAACCTAAATGTCTAAGTAGGTGACTGACTCAATAAATCACAGTACGTTATTATAATAAAAAAAGTTTTGGTGATTTAAAAAATTAGATCTATGAACAGGGAAAAATATCTCTATTAAGTTAAAAAGGGAGACAACATAATCTAAAGTTTGAGCTTACGTACTTTTTTTGTTTTGTTTTTTTGCCTATTTTTT